CCTGGTGGCAGGAATCAGTCAGGAAGACTAGTAAACCGTGTCTAACTTTTCGGAGCCTGGGCAGGGTCTGTGGCTGGACTGTGAGGAGGGATGGAGAGAAGTTTTGAAATGAGGCAGAAGGAACAATGGTCTTGACCTGGAACAGCATGTGATAAATGTAGGAGGCTGAAGGTGTAAGAAGGCAAAGAGATCAGGAGGATTTACTTCCAAGCAAACCAGGGTTCCAGGTGTGCAGCACGGAGGCTCAGAGGGAAGCTGATAATGGGATGGTGAGCTTGCGATGGTGCAGCAGGTGAGTGGATGGACTGATGTGAATGGGGCTGGGCCCGGGGGAGGCCAGATCATCCTAGCCTCCACTTCTGCACTTAGTTAACTTTTCAAAATTGAACTTCTCTACCCTGGTCCAACAAGATGTGTCTTTTCTCTATATTCAAACAGCTCCAGCCATCTCAGCTCCTTCATGATTGTGTCATTTCACCATCACCACCATAATCATCATCATCATCATCATCATCAACATGGTGGTTTCCTGAATGCCAGCCAAGTACCAGGCATCAAGCTTGAGCTACAATGCAAAGATGAAGCCAGGCTCCCTATCCTAAGGGAAGTTCTCAGGCCAGTTGGGAAGGCAGGAATCAGACATCAGGGACAGACAGACCGAGATGGCAAACGGACCAGGAGCAGACCAAAGAATCTCCATCTCCACCCAGGAACTTGGAAGGAGGCTTGTTCTTTGCGAGTTAAGCTCTAAAACCACCAAATTGCAGGCCGGAACTGCACGACTGCCAGTCACCTGACTCAGGCTATTATTGGCTCTCTCCCTAAGAGAGTCACAGAGGCAAACCTTACCCTTGGCAGTGCTGCCCAAGCTACTCAGGGGAGGAGGTCGTGGGCAAAGACCTGGATGCATGAGTTCTCAGATTCGGCTCTCCTGCAGCCTTCCCTGATGTTCTGAAATACAGGCAGCCAGCAGGCTTGTTCTGACTCCCTGTTCACGAGTGGTTCTCTTGAGTCAAAGAATTGAGGAAAGAGAGTTCGAGTGGAGGGAGCATGAGCAAAGGCCCTGAGGTGGGAACGAGCTTGGCACATTTGAGGAATAGAGTGGCTGGTTCGTGGTGACAAGGTGAAGAATGACATCTGATGAGGTGGAAGACATAGGCTTAGCCCCATCCAGCAGGGCCCTTGGAGTTGGACATGTCAAAGAACTTTTGTGAGTATTTATTTCATGTCTTGCACTGTGCCAGATACTGGAGATTTAAAGTTTAAAAAAATTAAATCATAGTCCCTACTCTTAAGGAAGACAGTAAAGTCAAGACTCTGAACCCTGCAATAGACATGTAAACAAGAAAAAACATAGCATATCAGTATGGCACTGAATGATAGAACTATTGCACTGTATGTATGACCTAGAATTGCACCAGGAGGGACATACTTAAGCCCATGCTGGCGTGGGAATGTTCAAGGAAAGCTTTCTTGAAGAGAGCACACCCAATCTGAGTCTTTGGAGAACAGAGGATGAATGGCACTCCAGAAGGAACAGCATGTTCAAAGTCATGAAGGTGTGGAACAATATGATGGTTCAAGGGAAATACAAGTCATTAGGTATTATAAGGCACAAAGTTCAGGAGAGAGTGAATAATGAGGCATCTTCTGTGTTTGGCAGGCACAGAAGATTCTCATGGGACAGAGGTGAAAACTAAAGCAGATTTGGAGCAGATGTTGGAAGTTCTCTAGAATAGTCCAGGGGAGAGGAAGATGGCTTCCTGAGCCTGCATGAGTCCCCTAAAACACCCACCCTTATTTCTTATCCCCAGCCCTGGGTTGGCTCCAAGTATTTCATAGAATGCATCTTAGATTATTATGCATAATTTTGTTAATGTGTGTATGGATTGAGATTAGAATCTAGTCATCTCCATATTCTCTGTGGGCTCATGCCTGAGCCTGCATTTCCTGTTTCAGATGACAGGGGCCGTGTTTTAAATTCTCAATACAATGCCTGGCACAGTCTTACCTACAGAAAAGTGTGTCCACAGTGACTTTCGATGAGGCTTCATAATTTTCCACTTTGCATGTATAGACACAGACTTAGAGACATAAACTCCCTTGGCCTGGAAGGACCTTCTGCAAATTAGTTCATCAGTCTTCTTCCCGTTCTGCCTCCTCTGCAGCACACACAGTTGGGAAGCTAATGGCAGGGGTTTAATTCAGTTCTAATGCTTGTTTATGGAGAGCCCTTTATGTGCCAGGCACCAAGAAGCTGAATTGTGGGCAAGGAGACAGGGAAGGAGCAAGCCATAGGCTCTGGCCCTCGAGGTGTATCCACATAAGAGGAACTTCATGTCTGGGGTTTCTAAATGAAACGCAGGATTAGGTGTTGGGATTACAATTCAGTTTGGGGATAATTTAACCAATCTGTTGGGGTTTTTGAGGGTGGGGTGGGGAATGAGGTCTCATTCATTGTGCATAAGGATCCTATACTTCTATACTCTCCATTCTGGGGGACTCAGCCTTTAGATCTATCTAATCAGAGTACATCAGAGGAAGAGAGAAATGTGTGATCTAGGGGTCAGGTTATCTAGCCTCTCTCGGGCCAGAGCACAGGTCACAGGGAAGAAGACAACGGCTCCACCTCACCTGCTTCCTTCCAACCATCTCCGTGGGAGAGAGAGCGCTAGCTTGACTTTTTGTAGCCTTTCCTTCCCTTTTCTGTGTTGGGTCAGGGCTAGGGCTGGAGTCAGAAGGATCCCAGCCCTAGTTCTGGCTTGCTCAAATTTATGGACGTCACCACGCCTACCCTTACATCTACTTCCATCCCACTGACCTTAACAACTTCTGGAAGCCGTCGGAAGGCAGCAGTGGGGGTTAGGTGGTGGGTAGTGATGTAGAAATCCCCCTGGGCTTGAGAGTGAAAATATTTTGGTCCTAGTCCTGTCTCTGCCATCCATTGCTGCATAACCTTGGTCAAGTAACTCTCTCTGAGCCTCTGTAGCCTCTTATCCTACATGTCACCTGCTCAGGGAGGCCCTCCTCGGTCTAAATTGGTCCTCTGTCCTCCATATCATTGGCCCCTAATCACAGGTAATATATGTAAATATATATACATATATGCAAAAGTATGTTTGTTTGCTTATGTGGTTTGTCTCTCTGCTAGATTCTAGGCTCAGAGAATGCAGAGACTGTGTCTTGACCTTTGCATCCTCAGAGTCTAGCACAGTGCCTGGCACATAGGAAGACAGAAAAGTAATTTAGTGAATGAATAAACGTATGAATGGCAGCTAACCCAGAAGATCTCTCAGGTTCCTTCCAGCTGAAAAAGTTTGAGTCTAAGGTTTCCCCGCCAAGGGGACCATTCCAGGGTCTCTCCCAGAGACCCCCTAGGCGGGGCAGGTGAGAGGGTGTAGGGGGCAGACAAGACATAGGCCCTTCGCAGGACTTAGGCCCTTCGCAGGACTCGGAGGATTGTGGACAGGGATTAGCGCAGGTCCGAGCCGCGCTCTAGCCCGGCCTCCCGGCCGGCCAGCGGACGGCGAAGCCAAGCCTCCTCCCCCGTAGCGCTCTACGCGTTCGCGCAGCGGAGGGAGGCGAGGGAGAGAGTTCGAACCCGAGTCAAGGGCGGGGCGGGGCCAGAACCCCTCTCTCATATTCCCAGACCTGCCCGCGCAGGGGGCGGTGCCCCAAATCTCTCGTTTCCCCGCCTGGGGGGCGGGTCTAGGCCGATCCGTTGCCTAGCGACGGCCTGCCCCGCCCCCCCGTGGGCCACTGCCGGCGCCTGCCCGCAGCATGGCCTGGCTAGACTGTTCTGCGCCGTTCCTGTGGATCGCCAGCTGCGGGCTGCTGCTCTTTGTCCTCACCCTGCTCCTGAGCCCCCGCAGCTGCCGAGTGCGGCGGACCCTTCGCGGCCTGTTCATGGCGCGCAGCAAGCGGCTGCTTTTCCGTATCGGGTTAGTGCCGGACTCCCGCGGAACGCGTGGCTCGGAAAAACGAGCGCGCTAGGAAAGGGGGCTGAGAAGCCGCGGCTGGGGTAGGCTTGGCGGTTAGTACGGGGCAAGAGCTGGGGGATCCAGTCTAGAGGAGAGCGGTCGGAGAGACGGGTTGGAGAAACCATTGATTTGGGGGAAAGAGAGGGGTTGTAAGGGGGGCGATTAAAATTGATATAGGCTGGGAGGATTGAAGGGGCAGGCCAGAGTGTTCAGAAATGGGGCGTGAGAGGACATCTGGAGAAAAGAGCCAGGTGAGGATCCGGAGACAGAGGAGTTGGAAAAAGAAGTTAGGTCGGTCAGTATCCCGGGTTGGGAAGGCCCCGGGTGGGCAGGTGCAGAAGAGGCTGAATGTCCGGAATGCCACATACCTTCTAAGTGTCATTTGAAACTCAGTTCCTTCCACATGTCCCTGCTCCTCTCCCCCATCACCCTGCTCCCCACCATACAATGTAAGCTCTTCTGTCCCGAGTGAGGGCCCCCACCCGGCAGGGTCAGTCTGTCCCCTTCTTTCTATCCCCCTATCCTGGCCAGCGCGGGAAGCCTCAGGCTGTGAAGTGTGACCCTACTCACTCTGTTTGACTTGTTGAGGTTCACTGACCTCCCAATGACTTTTTCCTGTCTGACTGTCCCCTCCTTCTCTCCAGTCCTCACTCTTCCCTTACCCCCACTTCTGCCCCTTCCTAGGCCAGGCAAGGGTGGCCAACCAGC